AAAGCTATAGTTCATTACTTTTCCAAAAGCCCATCATCGGCACTTATTTTAAATTCGGAAAGCAATAAACATACTCATTTTAAGAAATGTAAAGCGTTTTGCGTTTTGTGTTTTGATTGGTACAAAGATGATAAGGTCAAACAGTGTCTGTTCATTTGGTGATTATTATTTAGATCTTACTCTAACCTATCTCGTGCTCACTTAACAGATATTTTAACTTCTCTAAATTTACTGATTCTAGAAAACGTTGAGAACCAAGTGGCAAATTAAAATCTCTTGATTTTAAATAGAACACCATTGACTGTTTGAAGAATCGTCTTCGTATTAATCGGATAACTGATATTGAAAATTTCATATACAGCCATTAAAGCTGCCGCAGCAATACATTGACTCGTCGCCGTAATTAATTTCACTGTTTCGATAATAATAACGTTACTACGATTATTATTAATAATTTCCGATGATATTGTTGGAAAGGGTGTCAAAGGGTTCTATACATAGAAATCAAAAAGAGGAGCGGAGTATTTTATAGACCCTTGGATGACATTCTGTTCGAAAAATAAATTTGAATTATCGCAGACAGGTATGTAACTTATTTATTTTTTCTTTCTGTTATCATATGCTTTCTACATACACTAATAAAAAGAAAAAAATATCTATTTTATCTTGAAATGAAGCTTGTAACGGTGTGGCTGTTCTGCTGTTTCTATTTAAGAAGGTTAACCGTCATCGCGACAGAGGAAAAATAATTTTGTCTTTATCAAAATAGTTACTCTTTTTAAATCAGTGTCGAATATAAAAACTTACAGAGAACACGCTTTCAATTTAAACTGACGAGTGAGAAACACAGAAATTTTTATTATACATTAGACAGATTACAAACGATGCTTAGGTCCTCTTGCTGTTATCTCGCACCAAGTAGAGACTTCTTATTGTTAAAATTAACACGAGACTGAAACAGAGTGGAGTTTTTTTAATAAAAGAACAACTATTTTACTCGAGTTTTAAATGGCAGCAAGAGTTCAATGTACAAAATGTGAGAAAAATTCTGGTATAATCACATGCAATGGCTGTTTAGAAGAATTGTGCAGACGGTGTTTCAATGATCACCGTCAAGGTTTGTCAAAAGAATTCGACAATGTTGTTTACGAACACGATATGCTCAAACAGCAGCTTGAAACGCCAAATGAAAATGAGTCTCATCCCTTGTTAAAACAAATTGATGAATGGAAGAAAGACTCTATCAATAAAATCAAACAACTTGCTGAACAATGTCGGACTGACGTTGTCAAATTGCTCGATAAGAACAAGGACGCATTTATCAATAGATTGCGCAAAATAACGAATACAGTTCGTAAAGGTAGAGATGATGAAGACTATGATGAACGAGATCTCAGAAAGTGGATGGATGACTTAAAAGAATTAAAAGATGAACTTATCAAACCATCGAACTTCTGCGTCGAAGAGGATAAACAACAATCTCCTTGGATTCCAAAGATCAGAGTACGCGAAAATTTCTACGACCAAGCAAAAGCGAAAAATGGTAAGTCGTGATTCATCCAGTTCAGCTTTGTTAACAGACAGATTTAATAGAGTCTGCGACTACGTACATAGCCTGTTGTGTGAAGCTGAGTCAGATCTTTCCCATTTTGCTACATATAAAATGTCAAAAATATTTAGCGTGGTTTATTAGTTCTGAAGGGATTATGGACGATCGATTAACCTTAGAACGTTTTGTGGATTCACGATGAAAATATTTCTACCATCCAGTTCATTTCTCGATAGTCTCGAACCTCGACATACTGTTTCATTCAAAAAGTCCGTAAGTTCGGCAGTGACAATAATATACACTAATCAATCGAAAATAATTTTTAGAAACAGAAGGACGATTTTGTCGGAGCGCCTATATGTAAGTGGGGGTAAAAAGTTTAGAACAAAGTATTTTTGACTTTTCTCCTTAACAGTACCTGCCAGGGCAAATCTGAAAAAAGATTTGAGTAGGTGGAATGGAAGATATTCCTTCAAGAAAGTTATTTTTCAAAATTCCATTAAACGTTTTAGGATGAAGATCTCTGGAAAGTCAAGACTCCCATGTCCCCGAGCTCTCCACGACCTTTCTTCACCGAACAGCACTCAATCTACGAAAGATCCCACAGCATCAAACACAGGAAATCCATCGAAATGTAAAAGAAAAAAAATTTCTCTTAGGGAAGCCGTCAAAAATAATAGAATGCGTAGAACGTAGACATAGACTATATTCTACGCGTAGATTTTTCAACGCGTAGAATATATTTTTCTACGCGTAGATATAGATCAAGACGATCGTCCTATCGTCTTTCTTTTTCTCTTATTTGCAAAAAGAGAAAGAAAGCCAAAAATCTGTTCTGGTCACAGAATGGAAAAAATTTTCGTTTTATATTATCAGTTGCACAATTCAGTTTAATCTAAAGCTAAATTATGTTTTTCTCTAGCGAACGAAATGAAAGCGAATAAATTTTGTCTTTTAGTCCAAGTGTTGATTTACTTTTCTGCAGAAGAAAAATATCGGTTATAATGAGTTTAATGCAAAATCGCTGAACTTAACCAGTTAAATAAAAATTAGTTATTAAATTAAATAAAAATGCAGTCGACTAAGGATAAACTTTAATAAAACTAATACTAATTATTAGATTCGTAACCATATATATACATACAAATAAGAAAAACATTTTTATTTTTTCCTATTTATGCAATTGTGAAATGCAAAGTAGGCTGTTCTACCCAATTTCGGTTACATTTTACTTTATTTTTTGGAATGATAGAGGAATAGTCGGAGAATAGGGGAAAAGCAGAATAACAACCGACCGGAATATACTTTGAAACGTTTCTTTATCATAACGGTTAAAACATGTCAAGAAACAAAATTTAAAGTATGTTTGATAAGTCTTCCTTCTATATTACTAACATACACATTTAATTAACCAGACATATATCTTGCAAACCATATCTAAATTAAACGTTTTCTTACATTCTGTCTGAATTAGTGTACATATTTTGTTTTCTCAAACAAAAATATCAAGTTCTGATTCTGATCATATACATCACAAATCACAAACTTCTTTAACTCTTTCTTGAAACGTTTATTTGCCTATTCTGAAAAATATTTTCTGATATGTCCGTCTTAATATTGATGTGAAACTTCTTTTTCTCAACGATTACCATGACCAGAAGAGAAAGAAAGTAGGAAAGTGTTAATAGTGGAAAAAAGTTTATTTAAAAGTGATGTAACTACTTAAGAAGAAACTATTTTTTGACGAAGCTAAGCAATGATATAGGTGACCCTCTATCCCAACAAGCAGAGGGGCCCTATTGCTGAAAAATAGTTCGACACGTTGTCGAACATTTTGTTTCAGATAGATAGAAACTAGAAATGAAGAAAGTCCCTGATTAATTTTTATTCAACTGGTTAAGTTCAGCGATTTGAATGAGCATGAGAGTGAGTAACGAAATATCAATTCTGGTTTACGGGGCTTGGAAGGTTATTTGACTAGGGCGGGAGGTATCAGGAAGTGCTAATGAGATCATCCGGCTTAGAGGCGGTGGGTAAAGCTATTGACAGTCCGAGACGTAATTTAGAGCAATTAATTCAGTGTTTCTTCGTGCCTTATGGCTCTTTCCCACGGGGCTGGGGGTTCGAGGTGCATGCTCGACAGCTTATCAAAAACGCTGCTGATTTTTCAAAAGAGTCTTTTTTAGAAAGTCGCTGAAAGCAAAAGGGTCTTCTTGACTTTTTTGATGGCATAGTCACCTGTATCAGGTCAAAGTAAATAAATTCTGAAGTTCTCGAACAGTTCGAGTGTATTTTATTTGAGATCAAATCTATTCTGTTTCCAATTCGCCCTTGTCTTAGTTTGTTTCTATGCATAACATATATGTATAGCAGTATATACGGTGTTTACATATTTGTTGCAGAATGTCATCATAGCCCATCACAGGGTTGCTCGCCTCTCTCTAGTTGAGATATGCACAATAGAATGATCTATTTTCAACAAAGAAACCATTATCGGCCCTAGCATCTCGAAAGCTTGAATGCTGCTGAAATTATTAATGCAATTGTTGATCTAGTTTTCTCTGAAGGAGGCTCTTCTACTATTCAGTGATTCACATCTTACTCTTCATGGAGGGTTGGAAAAATATAGCAAAGAAGTCTATTAGAGAACATTCAAAACCATCAAAGGTCGACAATGGCATAGTTTCGAAAGCTTGAATGCTGCGCAGGGTGTGGATGTGGAAAAATAGGAGATTATACCCACATCCACACCCTAGTTTACTTTTGTTTTTTGGATATCTTTGAACAAGTAAAAAAGACAAAGAGCAGCAACACGGAAAGTCTGATATATATTTATATGAATTGTGGGTGAGTATTTATATGTTTTTGGACCCTATCAACATTAACATATTCAGAAAAACTACAATTTTGCGATCCTCTGCAACTTAATTACAGATACATAATGGGAAAAAGTTTTAATGAAATCTTAAATTTTCATTGAGCAAAAACGATTAAAATTCCTTACCTGGAATGTCAGGTAAAAATGCACAGCCAATTTTCGTATTCTGCCCTGCGCAACTGAAGCAAGAAAGAAGAAACAGATTCATGACAAATCCAAGACAAAGTTCATACCAGTTGATAAATTCTGGTATGAACTTTGTTTCTTCTTTTGGCAACTTTTCATCATCTGCATCTTTTTTACACATTTTAAACATTTGTTTGACAATGCTTTTATGGCAGATGTATCGACAACATCTTCGGCGTCATGACCAAAACGCATCTTTATCCTTTTCGTTTTTGCAGCCTGCATGTTTTTCTCCACCCGGAAAAAACTCTAAATATCTAGTAGGCGTCCATTTCGGAATATCTAAATACCTAAGGTATGGCTCCATTCCCAAATATCTAAATATCTAGTAGGTGTCCATTTCGGAATATCTGAATACTGCAGGCTACAAAAACGAAAAGGATAAAGATGCGTTTTGGTCATGACGCCGAAGATGCTGTCGATATATCTGCCATAAAAGGCATTGTTTAGGCCAAATGTCAAGTGGGAAACAGCTCAATTTAGTCCGTTAAATTCAAGTAAATTCAAAATTCAACTGAATTCACTAAAATTCACGTAAATTCATCCGAATTCATGTAAATTCCTAAAAAAGTCAAGGAAACTTTACTTGAATTGAACGGGAGTCAGAGAGAGAGATGCTAGTTAACTTCCGAAATCTACCATGATAACGGTGTAGGTATTAAACAGCCAATACTGTGAAGAACATTTGTGTAGCAGAGTTTAGATTTCTCTTTCCTTTCTACTATTGACGCCACGAATAACTTCAAAACGATAAAAGATAGAGACTTGTAATTTTCAACAATCGAAAGAATCGTAAGCGAAACCCTTTTGCGAAGCCGTTAGGAAGATCGATTGTCTAAGATATCTTTGGAAAACTAGAGCAACGTGGGTGTCGATTTTTTTCCACATTTTTCCCATGAAATATTTTCAAAGGTCGGTTGAGGGTGAGCGTGGATGTGGGTGTGACATTATGAAGTGTGTGGGTGAAGACCAGAGCCTCACACACACACACACACACACACACAGAATATGGTTATAGTTCATTTGCTATGCTCAAACTCTGTCGCGGTGTATGCGCTACACATATCGTTCGTCATTTTTTATTGTGAAACTTGCATCTAGCTGGAAATACTGGTTCTGACAACAAGGAACTTTTGAGCTTATGCATCATTTTTTTATACTAATTGCTTTAAATATCACGTAAGTAAAGTTAGCAGCGGATTCGACTACTTCCACCTAACATTCGCCGGGTGACTTGTGCTAGATCTCTAGAAGGTTATGCTGGATGCAGAATTCAATTCTCTATCGATTGGTGCTAGTTTTACCCTAGGTCACTGATCAAAACCCGGGGTCTAAACTTGAAATACACCGATTCTGGGTGCCTTTTCAGAGTATTTTCCGGTATTTCCGCCTAACATTCGTCCCATGACTTGTACTATCTCTCTCGATGCACAAATAGTATTTTAGACCAAATCATTATTGAAGCGAAATGCAACATTTTGTAGAATTGATGTTAGCAGTATTTCACCTCCTGTTCCTATGAACCAATTTTAACAATGTTTTTGTTTATTTCACTCCTCTTGTAGTGTGAAACTAATAAAATACTCAACAGATAGTGAAACTAATAAAATATTCGATAGTGCATTAGATATTATTGTAGCGGATCGAGGATAGTAGATGTATTGGGCCATTTACATTAGTAACACCATTATCTATTAGAAAAGGAGAAAAACAATTGTCATATTCGTCCGCAAACCAAACACGTTGCATAACAATTGTTAGCAATGCTATTGAACGTGGTTTTGCCCGAATAACAAATTTTAAATTATTAGCTAACACTATTGTCACAAACTATCTTCCTGTTCTACATAATATATTTCAAATAATATTAGCAACAGACAATTGTTTTTATCCACCATTAATTAACAATATCGAAAGGATAAACAAAGATATTGAACGGATCATTCAAAGATTAGATTTAGAAAATGACATAGACGATGAGGAAGCCGATACATCCGGAGGTTGGACACAATTTAGTATCAATCACTTAATAGATGAATGGTTTTTTCCACCATTATCAGAACCAATTATTAGAAATTGGTGCGCATTAGTGTATGCTTTTGAATTATCAGAACAATATCTACAACAGATGATAACCGACATGAAAATAATGAAACATATTAAATATCCAAACACCATCAGGTGTCATAATATTATTAGTAGATTTGCATCTGTTGATTCTATAAATCCAAGAAAACATATCGTGTACATTCAGCCTTTGCACATGCTTGACAAACTTGGTAATTTGCACATTAAGTTTAGTATTATGTACAGTTTTTGAATGAATCTTTCACAGAAAAGGCATTTTCCCTCCCATACCTCCCGAAAAAACCGCATTTTTTCAAAGTTAAAGCTCCGTAACTTCATAAGGGAATGAGCTAGAAAGATGAAATTTGGTGTGTAAGTAGGACACTGCAAGAGGAGTGAAATAAACAAAAACATTGTTAAAGTCGGTTCATAGGAACAGGAGGTGAAATACTGCTAACATCAATTCTACAAAAAGTTCCATTTCACTTCAATAATGATTTGGTCTAAAATACTATTTGTGCACCGTTTCAAGATTTAAAAATAGTTGTATTCGATCATACTCGACATGCGCTATCTTTTGAATATAGATTGGTTGCTTACCTGGAATTAGTGAAAACCGATCATGTCCTTTTCAGTGTAAACTCTTATTATGATTTGCAATTTGTCAGTAAATAAGAGAGTTGTTCGAGACGGATTTGAATATCGCTTAATCATGTAACGGGTGGCGCAGAAATACTTGTGCCACGTCACTCCAACTTGTTTGCTCTATGTTGAGAGACGAGAATACATCAAAAAGCACAGGCAAACAATGTGACACAGAAATAGACTGTAAGTATCCCTAGTGCATGTACTGATCTCAAGTACTTGCTCAACTACTTGGTCCTGTAATGTAGAAAGTACCTTGTATTTCAATCAGTAATTTACTGTGTCCAGTACTTATTCAAGTATTTAGGTGCACACTGGTGCATGCTGATCCAAGTACTTAGATAAGTACTTGATAAGTATCGAAGAACTAGAGAGGTGCATTCTAATGGTAGCTAAGTTGATCTGAATTAACACTCGGAATGGGTTTTGCACAAGAACATACATGTGCCCTAGGGGTAGTTTGTTATTCTAAATTTCGAATTTCATAGTCCAAACTCATGAAAATGTAAGCATGGCTGTTCGGCTTTAGAAAGTTATAGGGAATATTATTGGAAATATTATCAATAGTTTCTATCAGACTGTTCAATATCATGAAAAAGGAAAATGGCAAGTAAATCAAGTACTTGAGATCAGGGCATGCACTAGGGATCTTCCAAAGTGATCAATATACTCGATTTCACTACTATAAAATTCTTCGGTCGCATTCAGAGATGCGATCGATCGCTTTATTGAACGTGAATCCAGGCTCTCGACACAGCACAGCGAACCTCCGGCTCTCACCTTTCACGTCTTCGAGATCGATCATAGCTCGAACCAGAAATTATTCGATGAACACTGAAAGAACTGTCACCAAACAATTGTCGGATGCGTCAAAAGAAGAATTTCTGTTCGATCGATGTTCGGATCGGAAACAGAAATCTTGTTCTACAATTAAGAAGAAGACACCACCGCTGTCGTTCTAGAAAGAAAAATCAGAAACTTCTCCTTCTCATTCAGCAACGAACAAATTCTTGAGCGACGTGACTTCTGTCTGTTGCAATAATTCGAGAACAACTGATCACTGATTCTTTTTTGTCGAATCAAATCGACAATTTTCACTTGTTTTCCAAGGTTTGTCAATAGCTATAAAGGGAATCGTAGATGGGCAAGTAGTTTCGCTACTGGAATTTCACTCCGTCCAAGAATAAGAGTTCACTCTCCGTTCACTGTTCTAGAAGGTTTTGGAGAAAAACTCGAAGTTCTTCAGTTCAAGTCAGATGATCAACTTTGGTGTTTGGATGAAAAGAAAGATCGATCTTTATGTTGTTTTCACACGAGAGCAAACACATGTTCGACTTTTGAAACAAAGTATTCTTTCGTTTGGGATTCAATGATCCAAAACTAAATTTCGATGAAAACATCTGCGTCGGAATGGAGCGTCTTCCTCAGCAACATTTTTCGATTTGTAGAGAAAAGAAATTCCGTTTTCGTTCAAATTGTAAAGCTCTTTCCCTGATGTTTCATCCTTACCCCACGCCTTCACCTCACGCTCACGCTCACTCCCTTTCACTCTCGCGACGCAACAGAAAAGTAAAACATTCTTGTATCTGCTTTTTTGTTCGTTTTTATCCGCAACAGAACTCAAAAGCAGATTTGAATCCTTTCAAGTGTTATATTTGCTTCGAGCAAATGAGAATATGAGGTTAATTGATTGAACTGTTATTGCAGTGACTAATGATACGAAAGCGACAGCTGCTTCGGTTCTAATGGCTGACAGTGGCATAGCAATCGGTATTGATTTGGGCACGACATACTCAGTAAGTCATCAGAGAGATGGAGCATGCTAGTGAAGACAAAGTATCGGTTCGCTCTGTTTGAAAAGTGTGTCGGCATCGTTCGACACGGCCGAGTCGAGTACATTACCAATGATCACGGCAATCGAACGACTCCCTCGTATGTTACATTTACCGACAGCGAATGTTTGATCGGTGATGCGGCCAAGGACCAAGTGACCAAGGTGAGCATTGAGATGAACTTTGGAGAGTTAATAATGACTCAATCTATCTTCATGTTTTGTTATAGAATCCGAACAACACCGTCTTCAATGTCAAACGTCTCATTGGTCTCAAGTTTGACGATGCGACGGTCCAAAGCGATATGAAACATTGGCCGTTCAAAGTCATCAACGAGGGATCGAAGCCTAAGGTAGGATTTTTAACAAAGGAGGAAAAGTCTGAATCATTCGTTGTCTCTCACAGATCCGAGTCGAGTACAAGAACCAGACAAAGACATTCACTCCGGAAGAAATCTCGTCGATGGTCTTGACTAAAATACGTGAAACTGCTGTAAGTTGCAGCCATCCTGCTATACCTTTCCTTGTTCTCAACTCGTTACTTTTTCTTCTGTTTAGGAAGCTTATCTTGGTAGGTGGGAACCAACAACGTGAGACAGTGTTGAAATACTGCTTTGATTTCAGGCAAGAAAGTTACCAACGCCGTAATCAGTGTGCCGGCCCACTTCAATACCTCTCAACGACAGGCAACAAAAGACGCTGGAGTACTCGCTGGTCTCAATGTTCTTCGCCTCATCAGTGAACCAACAGCTGCCGCCCTTACATACGGTCTTGAGAACAAGGTAACGGTCGAACGAAACGTTCTCATCTTCAAGTTGGGCGGTGGCACATTAGGTGTTTCTATTCTCACAATTGAAGAAGGCATCTTCCAAGTCAAATCTACAGCTGGTCAGTATTATCACCTTGTGATACATCGAACAAAACGAATCTTCGCTGTATTATTATTCTCCTCACAGGTGATGCTCGCTTGGGTGGCGAAGATTTTGACAATCGAATGGTATCACACTTTGTGCAAGAGTTCAAACGAAAGAATCACAAATATATTGGCGATAACAAACGTGGCCTTTGTCGTCTGCGCAAAGCATGCGAGCAAACTAAAGTAAAGTTAATTAGTTCTGTTGTATTCGTTCATCACCGAGTTTGTCTTCGTATCGTTTGCAGCGAACTCTGTCCTCATCTTCGGAAGCCTCGATCGAAATTGACTCTTTACACGACGGCATCGACTTCTATTCGACGATTACGCGTGCTCGCTTTCAAGAGCTCAATGCTGATCTGTTCCGTGCAACGCTAGAACCAGTCGGACAGGTATTGCGCGATGCCAGAATGGACAAATCACAAATTCACGAAATTGTACTTGTTGGCGGTTCGACCCGAATCCCGAAAGTACAGCAACTCTTGAAAGATTTTTTTAACGGCAAAGAGCTCAACAAATCGCTCGACCCGGTAAGATGGTATTCTCTTATATGCAAGACAATAATAAAGTAAAACACGCGCAAAGCAACTCTTTTTCTAGGACGAGGCTGTCGCCTATGGGGCCGCCGTTCATGCTGCCATTCTTACAGGTGACACGTCGAAAGAGTTGAAAGATGTGTTCTTATTCAATGTTGCACCGCTCTCGTTGGTAAGTCGGTCTTTTGTTAGTTTCGTTTTTAATGGATGACAATGGTTCCGTTCCGCATAAGGTATCGAAACGGCTGAAGGCGTAATGACCGTTTTGATCAGACGCAATACCACCATTCCTGCAAAGCAAACACGAACATTTACGACCTATTCGGACAATCAAACTAGTGTGCTCGTTCAAATCTACGAAGGCGAGCGAACAATGACCAAGGACAACCATTTACTCGGCAGAGTCGAATTATCCGGTATTCCTCCTGCTTCTCGTGGGTAAGTCGCTCAGAATGGAATGTTTTTTCTTTAGCTTCAATCCATCCTTAAAACTTTTCCTTCTAGTGTTCCACAAATTGAAGTGACATTTAATATTGATGGTAACAGTATTCTGACTGTCTCGGTAATGGACAGAAGTTCGGGCAAAGAAAATAAGGTCACTATTACCAACGGCAATTGTCGTTTGTCGAAAGATGAGATCGAACGAATGGGGCACTTCCAACTAGTTATATCCGATAACACCAGTTATTTATCCAAACAAATGAATAAATACCCAGACCGTTCAAAACGGCCAAGTTAACGGCGTGTTAACGTCCCATTAAGTCTACGTTAACGGGCCGTAAACGTACCGTTTTTACACCGTTATGCACCGTTTTTACGCCGTTTTTTCACCGTTAACTGGGACCGTATTACGGCCCATTTTTACACCGTTTTTTGGCCGTTTTTACGCCGTTTACAGACCGTTAACGTGCCGTTTGTGCGCCGTTTTTATAGGGTAAACGTATCGTTTTTAAGCCGTTACTTATGCATTTTCAGCTTATTACTTTAAGCCGGTTTTGTTTACTGAGACCGGTTGGTATTCTATAGAAGATTTTTAGGTCAGATGACTTGCACTAACTTTATTCAATCAGAAAAAAGTTATTGAGAA